ACATCAGCAATGCTATCCCTCATTCCACGGCCTCTTCTGAATCCAGCTTGAACCTCTGGAAGTTCTCTGTCAATGTATGCTTGCAGCCGTTTCTGTATTATCTTTGGTAAAACTTTACTCGCATGGGTTATCAAAGAGATTGTCCGATGATTTCCACATTCTACTGTGTCACCTCTCTTCAGAATGGGCACAAATATGGATCTCTTCCAATCAGAAAAGAATCTTATATATAGCACCAGTGAAATCTAATGGAGAGTTTCTTGGATTTGGTTTTTAACCTAGTTATTTGCTGTTGAGACATTTTTAACTAATAACAACCCTATATGACAGAGTAAAACTGCCCCATATAAAATGTTGTTAAGCGCCATCAAATTCCAACTCATAATGACCTGTATCGGGTTTCTTAGGATCGACTGGTAGATTTGAACCACCCTCCTTGTAGTTCAAACCCACCCTGTGGTCTGTGCTTATCCTACAGCATCACACCCCGCATAAAATAGGAGATTTTAGAAGTCCAATCTGAGATTCCTTATGAAGGCTTCCAGGAAGAAGTTGAGTTTGTGACTTTAAGAGCTGTTGAGTATTGTTTGGGTTTTAAGACTTGAAGAGCAAACTTAATGGTGCCTACACGGCAAGTTAACATTCTCACTATGTCTATGTAAATAATTAGGCCAATTAGAATACTCGTCTTCCTTTGAGATTATTATAATCACAACAAAAGAGGGTACAAAGACTGTCAGAAAAAAGTGTGAAAGATTTTGAAATGAGCAATATCGTGTCTAGTGCAACCTTCCGAGGGTTTCTCCCCGTTTCACTGCCTTTGAGCTATTTACAACTCTTTAAGTTATGTTGTTGTTGTTGTTAAGTGCCATCGAGTCGGTTTCGACCCATAGAGACCCTGTACAGGGTTTCCGAGGGTGTAAATCCTTACGGGAGTAGAAAGCCTGATCTTTCTCCCGCGAAGCAGCTGGTAGTTTCGAACCGCTGACCTTAAGGTTGGCAGGCCTATTCGTAACCACTACGCTACCAGAGCTCCTTAGAAAACTGATAATAATGCAAATTCTTTTTATCCAAAGAAACACATGTTAGTTATCTCCAGTGGAATGCAACTGATTATTGATCCATTTGGCATTTATTTGTAAATTAATTTCTACATTTCTCTGTCCGTATATGAGTATTTGCAGTACTTTGAATTCTTTGAACCAATTGCAATATTTTCTTGATTCCTTGTTAACTAATTAGTTAAGCAAAATCTTTAACAGGTATTACAATAATGCAAGATACAGAATAATGTTATGATATGCAAACATTTCTGTAAAACAGAGTGGGAAGATATTATGTATTCATATTTATGTATATATACATTGTTGTGATTACATGCCAACAAATCAATTCTGATTCATAGTGACCCTGTACAGGGTTTCAGAGGAGCCACTGGTGGGTTTGAACTTCTGATCTTGCAGTTCAAACCAACCTTGTGGATCCACTGTTTATCCTACAGTGCCACATCAGGACTCCTTATATATTATTGTTGTTGTTGTTAAGTGCCATCAAGTCAGTTCTGACTCATAGTGACCATGGGTAGGACTTCTGAGGAGTAACTGGTGAGTTTGAACTTCTGACTTTGTGGTTCATGGTGCAGTGCTTAGCCTACAGTGACACACCAGTAGTCCTATACGTTATTGGTGGTGGTTGTATGCTGTGGAGTCGATTCCAACTCATAGTGACCCTGTATAGGCCTTCTGAGGCGATAAATCTTTATGGGAGCAGAAAGCCTCATCTTTCGCCTATGGGACCGCTGGTAGTTTCCAACTGCTGACCTTGAAATTAGCAGCCAGACTTACAACAGCTATGCTACCACAGGGGGATTTAAAAAGTTTGTGGAAACAGCCATTATCTTTTCATCCCTTTTCTCATTAATTTCTTGAAGCCTCGCATATATAAAATTATTCAAGTAGAATTTATATTTGATGATTATGCATAAAAACAATAAATTAATAATAGTTATCCATTTGGGACAGGGGAACTAAACATGGGGAGCAGGGGTGAGATGATGACTTTTCACTTCATATCTTTTTTATTTTAAATTCTATACATATATTTAAATTACTTAAATTTTTAATGTTTGGAAATTAATTTAAGCCTATAAACCAATTCTCTCTTCTCATGATAAGTACTTGAATTGGTTTAAGTTCTGCACTTCACTAGAAAGCAGTTCTACACTTGGAAAAGGATAGATGGAGCTGAGGCAAAGAAACCCAATTCCTAATTACAAACAAATACTAATCTGGCACTCTGGTGTCACAGTGAGTTAAGCATTGTGCTGCTAAGTAAGCAAAAGGTTGGCAGCTGCTCCATGGGAATAAGAGGCTGCTGTCTCCTTCTGGAAAGATTCCCAGCCTTGGAAACCCTGTGGAGCAATTCTACTCTATCACTATGAGCCAGACTCACCTCCGTGGCAGTTGTTGATGTTGTTAGGTGCCATCGAATCAGTACCAACTCATAGCAACCTTATGCACAGCAGATCGAAACACTGCCCGATCCTGGGCCAACCTCACTGCTGTTGCCACGCTTGAGTCTATTGATGCTGCCACTTGGCTAATCCATCTCATTGGGGGTCTTCCTCTTTTTCTCTGACCGTCCACATTACCAAACATGATATCTTTCTCCAGCAACTGGTCCATCCTGACAATATGTCCAAAGTATGAGAGATGAAGTTTAGCCATCTTGGCCTCCAAGGAGGACTCTGGCTGCCTTTCTTCCAAAATGGATCTATTGGTTCTTTTGGCAGCACAATGGATTTGGCTTTGGGGTTTGGTTAGAAACCAAACAACAGCAACTCCATTGTGTGTGAGAGTAAAACTGTGCTTTATAGCATAACAATGGGTGGTTATTTGGAGGTCCTTCGTTTTGAGACACCTGTGTATGAAATGGAACCACTAACCTTTGTATAGTAGCCAACTAGATTAATTTATGCTTTTAGTGATAACACAAACAAAGGACATAATGATGGGATGGCTGATAATTAAAATGATTAACTTAGGACCTTATTAGGATGTTTGCTTTAGTTCTGTACCCCAACATTTAAATGAAATATGTAAGGTTTAAAGGAAAGCAATGAAAATTCATTGGGGGGGTTGAGAACTCAGCCCTTTGAGAAAATGCTAGAGGAAGTGGATTGAAGAAAGGGCATGAAGCCATTCGTTTGCAAATATATACTGATAAATGACAGGGCTTCTTGTACAGAGGTATTTAGGTACAGAAAGGTCCGTGTCTGGCACAAAAAGTTTGTACTTCACTGCTAACTGAAAGGCTGGTGGTTTGAATTCAACCAACAGCACGGTGGAAGGAAAGCCTGGCGATCTGCTCTTTACTGTCAAGAAAATTCTATGGAGTTCAATTCTACTCTGTCCTATGTGGGGTTGCCATGAATTGGAATCAACAAAATGGTAAGGAAAGCATGCAGATGAGGAGTAATCGCTGTTAACCCAAAGGTTGGAAATTTGATTCTACCCAGAGGCACCTTGGAAGGAAGTCCTGGCAATCTTCGGAAATACTAGTCATGAAAATCTATGGAGCACAGTTCTACTCTGACAAGCATGGGATCGTCATGAGTCAGAGTTGACTTGATAACTATGTTGTTTTTTTAAATTGGGAAATATTATCAGAAGTCTAGTGATAACAATACATTTGCAAAAGTAGTTGCAAATCATGTTCCCTATTTTTTTTTTTTTTTTGTCCTAGAAAGGTACATTAATGAGATCCTAAGTCTCCTCCTCCAGCCTTATAAAATCTCATTTAGAAGACAGAATTGGGCTTGAAGCCTTCTATTTCAAAAATAAAATGTATGTTTGATCCAAATAATAAAATATTGACACATTGTTAACTGGAATAATTATTTCTCTCTTTAGTAATGTTAATTTTGGTGAGCATTTTGTTCTTTGTTCTAACCAGCCTATTTTGTTTGTTCCATTCAGGTGTTGGGAAAGGTAATGGGGAGGATCTGAAAGTACAAATAATAATGCAGAAAGAGATCGTGTTTTCCTGTTCTGCTTCTAAAAACTGCAGGGTAAGAGAAAGTATATGAACTCGAAATTCTGGTGTTTGTTTTAAAGTTTAATATCAAATAGGCAAGTGAAGTTTCCCCAGCCATCACTCTCCACAAAGAGACCCTCTGGCTACCTTCTAATTTGGTGTTGCTGGGCTTTGATGCCAGCCAGAGCAAAATTCACCTCCTTGTTTAAAATGGGCTTTCAGGCATTTTCCAGAACTTATTTTCAGTTTAGATTGTTGCTTTGTCTTCCACCTCCTCACAATTTCTTAGGAATCTACCAGGGTTTTAAATTTATGTATGTAATAATTTTTAGCTGTATTCTCTTCATGGTCACTTTATCTTTTATTATACTGCACAGCCGGTCAAATTTTGTTGCTGTTGTTATGTGACCTCGGGTCAATGTCCACTTATACAGACCCTATGCAAAATAGAACAAAACATTGCCTAGTCCTATGCCATCCTCACAATTATTCTGTTTGAGCCCATTTATGCTGCTACTGTGTCAGTTCATCTCTTGGGGACCTTTTTCTTTTTTGCTGACCCTGAAATTTACCAAGCATAATGTCCTACTCCAGGGAATGGTCCACCTGCCCAAAGTATGAAAGATGAAGCCTCTCTATCCTCACTTCTGTGGAACACTCTGGCTCTACTTCTTCCAAGATAGATTTGTTTGTTCTTCTGGCAGTCCATGGTACTTTTAACATTCTTTGCCAATACCACAGTTTAAATACATCAATTCTTTTACAGTCTTCCTCATTTATTATCTAATTTGAACGTGCATATGAGGCCTATGAAAATACCATGACTTGGGTCAGGCTCACCTTTGTCCTCACCCTAACATCTTTGCTCTTGAACACTTTAAAGTGGTCTTGTTGCAGCAGATTTGCCTAATGCAATACATCATTTGATTTCTTCGCTGCTGCTTCCTTTAGTGCAATTGTGAATCCAAGCAAAATAAAGTTCTGACAACTTCAATATTTTCTTGGTTTATCATGATGCTATTTACTGATCCAGTTGTGCAGATTTATGTTTTCTTTACATTGAAGTGTAATCTATACTGATCTTCATCAGTAAATATTTCAAGTCCTCTTTTCTTTGACCCAGCAAGGTTGTGTCATCTGCATGTCACAGTTGTTAATGAGTCTTCTCCCCGTCCTGATGCCATGTTCTTCTTCATAAAATTCAGCTTCTCAGATTATTTGCTCAGCATACAGAATGAATAAGAATGATGGAAGGATACAACTCTGAAACACACATTCCCTGATTTTAAGCCATTCTGTATACCCTTGTTCTGTTTGAATGACCACCTCTTGGACTATGTACAGGTTTCATGAGCATAATTAAGTGTTGTGGAATTCCAGTTCTGTACAATGTTATCCCTAGTTTGTTATGAGCCACATAGCTGGATGCCTTTGCATAGTCAATAAAATGCAAGTACACATCTTTTTGGTATTCTCTTCTTTCAGCCAAGATTCACTGACATCAGCAAATAATATCCTCATTTCATGTCCTCTTCTGAATCTGGTGTGAATTTCTGGCATCTCCCTGTCAATGTATTGCTGAAACCATTTCTCAATTATCTTCAGCAAGATTTTACTTACATGTAATATGAATGATACTATTCAATAACTTCTGCATTCTGTTGGACCACCTCTCTTTGGGATGGGCACAAATATGGATATCTTCTAATCTGATGGCCAGATATGTACCTGTCTTCAAAGTTTCTTGCCATAAACTAGTGAGAAGATCAAAGAGCACAGCCTTTGATATGGATTGCATCTCAATGTAAAGA